CACAAACGCTTGCCAGAAACAAACAGCTTTTATGCTTTACAGAGGTAAAAAGCAGGCTTTGCTAGTAGCGCATTCACTTTCAATTGACTGTAAGAAGCGATGGGGGAATAGAGGAGGGTCTTATGAAGCTGATTGAGAAATTTCCAGCACAAAACGCCTGCCAATGCACAAAACAGGGCAGCTTTCTGTAGACAAGCTAAGAGACGCCATTAACCTGGACCTTATAGTCAAACTTCAGTGGCATGAAGGATTTTGGGAAACATTATTCACATTTCAGCAGTTAACACTGACAATTTCGAGTAGAATTAGATGGGTGCCAATAAACGTTTGGGGGAAAACAATTTACATTGTATACACATAACAAAGTCAATATTTCATTTGCTCTTTATCAAGATGTAAAATATAAACCGTTTTACCTTCATTGCAGAATCGGCCCACATATTCCGTCTTAGAACAATCACAAAGTGGTTCCCCATCCACAACAGAGCACGTTCCTCCATTCTCGCATGGGTTCTCCATGCAGATCCCCTCTATGTCCATGCGAACCCTCTGGCTACTTAGTAGAATAGGTTCCTTGTTATTGTACTTCAGTTCCCTGATAATTCCCTTAAACGCTGGAAGATCCTTCACTGTCGGGAGAGTGAGCACAGAAATACGAATATCTTCAGGGATTCCACCCAGGAAGAGGTCACTAACAATCTTCATGTACTGCCTCTGTGGCCACACCTCGCTCGATTTGCTCACTCCATCCAGAACCAGCACAGTTCTCAGGTTGTACCTGCTCAGGGTGGCAGAATGCCAGCTGCTGTCATTGACTTGCTTGTCCAATACAACTGTGGTCTCGGCGCAATCAATGCTGAACTGCAACTGGAGCTTCCCTTCGACCACCATGAGTTGCAGGAAGTCGCAGAAGCCGCCATCGTCAAAGTACAGGATTAAGGCAGTGGGCACATCTGTTTTGAACTGGAAGCTGAGGTCACTTCTGGTGCTGGCGTCCCAGCGGAGATAGCGTGCCCATTGGCCTTGCGACCCTGTAAACTCCAGGCCCAAGCAGGGCCCAAGAACAGTACTGATCAGCAGCTGCAACTGGACTGGGAATCTGAAGAAATTCATTGTAAAAGTGCTGGAGATTTGGGGTTATTATCCTGAACAGAAGGAAATCATTGAATTAGCTTTGGTTCAAAGGTCAGTATATCCAAAGTACATCCCACAGTATATGCCCAGAGATACCAGAGAAGGGGTGAGATCGTCAACGCAGCAACAAACAAAAAATATCCTAAAAGAGGAGAGCAAGTTAGGAGGAGAACAGTCTTAAATAACAGTCATAAGGCCAATGACATTGCACAACAATCCAATCTCTGTCAGGCGACAATAAAAGTACTTCTTCCACGTTTCCTGGAATGGATCGACTTGAGAAGACGAGCAGATGAGGTGTGGTGTGTCTGCTGAGGTGTTGTTTTCTTCTGGTATCTCCTCAGACCTCAATCGTCCAGACAGGTCCTCCAGGTCGGACTCTTTCTGTATTTAGGGAAACCAGCACAGACTGCATGATGCCTTGTGGGTAATGTAGTCCATAGGGTTACTCTGCCCTGTCTAGCGCACAATAGCTGTCAAAATAGAAAAGCATCAAATTACAAACGAATCCACGGATGTCTCAGTCAATCTAGTGTGTGATTTTTTTTATGCATAAAACACAAAAGCATAAAAATATATAATTTAACAAAACAATTCAGCACACTTTCACAATTATAATCATGAAAAGCTGCATTTAAATGTCTCATGCAACTCCTGATAAACCCTAATTAAAAGTTTCTGTTTAAATTACCAGCATTATTCACATGGCAGCTCCAACTATCATTCAGTTGTAGTGAGTCCATGTTTATCTGATGATGTGGGAATTTAAAAGGCTTTCTGCAGGATGCACAATGCAAAACAATAATATGCATGTCTACACTTTCCCATGACATATACTCCACATTTCCAGCACCATAGTCATCTAAACACCTATAATATTTTGCTAATTTAGGTGTGGTCCTTCATTTTGAAACATTTAAAAAAACGTGTTGCATGAAGAAACGATTATTTATTATATTTTATTTTTAAAGGAATGCTGCTGCTGCATAACAAGATGCAGTAAAAATGCAAAGAAAATGTTTATTTTATGTATTAAAATAATTCGGTTTTTTTACACATCCTCAAGCACAAACAAAATGGCCTGTTTTGTTCTACAAATATGAGAGAAGCTTCCCATGCTGAGCTGATGTTTGGCCTTGAACCAGCACAGATTAGTAGGACTTTTGTGAAGGCAAAACGCAGCTCCAGCTCCTCTTAATAACATGTGTCCCCAATGTGCATAAACGAATAGGCTCCAATTACATGGCAACATGCAAGGTGTAACCTAATAGACATCTAATATTGCCAGTGTCCTTGCCAGAGGCGTAGGCAGCAGGTACGGCAGGACAATACTGCCACCAGCCCACGCGATTCAGCCGAGCCCGAAACACAATGCATGCCGTCAGAGCTCTGCCTGCTGCAGCTGAAGAGGGGAAAAAAAGAGCAAGAGACTGCATGCTTGGTAACAGATACCCCACGTTGGCACACGCCCACACCTCGAAATATGCATGTGTGCGTTCTCTTTTTCTTTTTTTTTGTCGAGCGAGGGCTTGTGAAGAGGAGGAGACAGGTGAAAAGGCTAAACTGAGCACATCATTGTCCTCATTGATATGTGATTGACACACCCCACTGGGAATGGCACACGACGCCACAAAATAAAACCCCTGCATTTGGATCCCGCTTCAAAAGTTGGCGAGTAAGAGAAGGTGGTGTAATTGAGGAACGGGGGCATGATAATGACAGCAGGCCCAACCATTCATCAGACACACAAAGCTGGGTTTTACCACAGGTGCCTCAATTACGCTCTGCCATTACACCAGAAGAGCTGCGACAAAATGTCCTCCAGTGCACCCCGATGATATCATGGAGGCTTTGGGAGGAGGCGCACGCTATTTCAGCGAGCTCGGCTCTGTACGTGACACGGTTGCCGTCGAGTATCCGCATGGTGGAGCGGAGGTGTGGGTGAGGTAGAGCTGGGCCAAAATGGATGACATCAGCATCCGGTGCTCTCCTCCTGGGCTGCCAGCCGGCGAATGGGAGGCGTGAGGCTCCTACTTGGCCTCATGTAGCTTCCCCCCGTGACCCAGAGTGGGCACGGGTACCACCAGCAACCCTTAAACAACCCACTGCAGAGGAACAGCAACTTATGAGCCGAATAAAGCAGGAGCGGCTCTGCAGCAGTCGTTTAAGGCATTATTTCACCTTGCCAAAACACACCATCCTTGTGGAATGATTCACTATAATACTCATCATAATCAGAACCATAGGATTAGTAATGATTTATGACCAAATTTCACTGTGGTAAAGGTGTGGAGTGTGTGCATTATATAGGGCTCTGATCAAGACAGAAAGATCACGTCACACTGCGGTGTATTAGAAAGGCAGAGCACATTCGATGATTGTTTTGGAACTAAGCATTACACAACGGCAATAGGAAATATTCTTCTATGCCACACAGACAAAAAGGCGATCTTAAAGAATTACAAAAAATTATAATAACCAAAACGCGGAAGAACGATATTTGTTACAAAAGTAGGAGATGTATTTATGTTGCTTGAAAAACACTTATATATTCGGTAAACAAAACAAAGATATATTTCATATTATACATAGTGTTCATTTAACATAATACACTATGTGCGCATATATGTGTATTTTCCGTTTTAGAATTATCAGTCTGAATTATTCTAATTCGTTTATTTCTATGGAAAAATACCTGTTACATTAAGGTCATTTAGCTGTCTTGGCTTGATGTGTAAATGGAGATTATAACCAACACCCGTGAGAACAAAAAATACAGGGAAACGAAACAATATAAATGTAAACGTCCTTTTCTTTTAATATTAGCTAACGTTTTAATTTTAATTTTAACATTTAATACATTTTAAATAGATGTACATTATTATACTGACAGTTATATTTTTAGCAAAAAAAATCGTTAATATGGATGATCAAAAAATTTGAAAGGTTTTTGTCCACCAATATTTCGTTTTTAAAACAGCATTTCGCTTTGTTTCACCCGTTTAAAATGGTAAACAATATACACACAAAATGTGCTCTAATACAATGAAATCTCGCTTTTGATCCAAATTATTAGTGCACAATTCAATCCCTCAAAATAAGGCACGGATAAATGTGCACATGTATAAACACACCGACAAAATAATTTACATTTGGTGAGAGGACAGTGCATTACTATTTCACACAAAAGAGGTCACAAAACACTACAGGGTGAAATTATACATCAGCGTCATGGAAAAATTAAACACGCTCGGATAAATATATGATATATTATTTTAATTCAGACATACGTGTTCATTTTCATTTATATCAGCTGTGAAAAAAATCGTCGATGAAAGCGTGTGACAAGGCCGAGATCAGGAAATATTATCTACCCCGACAATTTCAGGACATACAATACTGCCTGGGTGGATGTGTTAAAATTTCGGCAAAAATATTAAGACACAAATACAGTGGGTGTAGCCCAATTATTATTTTGACAAAAACGTGAAATGTAATAAAAAGCACAAGCCTGAATAGCCTACCTTTAAAATGAATGTGTGAGCGCGCGAGTGTGTGTTATAGTGAATTACCAAAGTCTATTAAATTCCAGGAGATCTAAATGAGCCACTACAAACTGATGAGAACGAATTAAGATATTCTACTAATGCACTGTACTCACTTGAGCACTTCAAAGCGAGACAAACAACAAAAAGCTGACGGTGTGCAAACGTGCCAAAAATCAGTTTATAAAAATCTAACCTTTCGCTTATTGTGACATCGAGACAGATATTTATATCGAATAATTTATAAGGGTTCGTACGTATTTTTAAATCACTGCAACGTGTTAATAGCCAACCTTAAACTATTTATAATTTTTTTTAAATAAATACATTTTTTTTAAAATGACTGCTTAAATTTTCCTGCACATTTAGTCTAATAAATCCCAGAATAAAGTGATAAACTTACGGATCGTAATAGTAAAATGTATTAGGCTAAGTACACCACATGTGTGCATCCTAAAAATAAATTTTAGCCAAATAAATTCATAGCAAATGTATAATACATTTTCATACATGCTCTAAAAAGAAATGGGAACATGGATATGCGTTCTTGTGTAGGCTATTTGACCAGTCCATGTCTAGTAGCATTCATGAGGATGGACCTGCAGTGGGGCATGCGTGATGTTTATCCTGAGTGGCAGTTGATCATGGGCTCCACAGACACCTGAGAACTCATTCATTATTCATAGCTACTTTTACAGAATAAGAATAACACGGGTCTCCTGCGAGCAAAGCGCGAAATTGTTTGTTACATGTTTACGGAGGATAGGGCGTGTGTTTTTTTCGTGATTACTAGCTACTAGAACAGAGGCCTAAATTGTCTAACTTATTGAAGATAAACGAAATATTCTGTGATATTTTAGGCAGCAGACAAAAAAAAAAAAAACAGGCAATACACACTTATTTTTGTGTCTGATTTTGTCTCGAAAACCGGTGAACTCTGACAGAAATGCTACTGTTTACACACTGTGCTCTGTATAGAATATGACCGTATATCCTTGAAGAATAAATACTATTAAACGTATTTTAAAAGTTAGACAACGTGTCTTTTAGTTTCTTGATGGTCTGAATGATGATGTAGTTTAGTATTTTTATCGCGAATGCTATTTATTTCGATTCAGTGCAACACGCCTCGTTCACAGAAATAAAAGTAAGATTCAACAACAACCGTGATTTACAATGTAAAAACAAGCCAACTAAGTGTAAATACTCGAAGTAAGCGATGAACTCTAACATCCCGGTGAGCTTTCATTCATTCCGTACCAAAAAAAGAAACAGACTAACCTCAGTTTTCGTAAAAAATATCCCAAACCGGAATAATCCACATTACATTCCCAACAGGCTCTATACGTTTGGTCAACGCCGCTAAATAACGTTTTTTCGCGGTCCTGTGAGGATGTTTTACCCGCGTGCTCTTGCCTCGTTCTGTGCTCGCTTGCAGTTACAGAGAGCCGCGCGCTCAGAGACTCTGTTGGACAATCACGAGATTTTCACCCCGCCTCATTTTACTGCGAGGCTCGCGCCATTTAAAGGTGTACGTTAGTAAAATCTGAGAGGAAACTTGGCTAAAAACAAACGAGTTTCTTTTTGAAGCGATAGAAACATTTATATGTGGAAAAGGTACTCGAAATGTCTACGAGATGGTTGCGTTTACTTATATTTGTAGAACCGTGCTGACTTGACTCAAGTAAAACATTTTCCTCAAGGGGGGATCCATTGTAACATGGTCAATAGATTCAATAAAAAATAAAAAGTTTTTTTTTACTTCAAGTTTTACTTGTGGGTGCACTTATAACAACAGGAAAGGCTTGAGAGAATCTGCTGTCCTTGGTGCTGAACTTCACCACAAACACTGCTGTGCAACAGCTGCTGTTTAGTGGCAATGTATTTTGACTTCCAAAAGAGTATAAAGCTATTTTCCAGATAGTTTGCTACTTGGGACGCAAGTGAAATCTACACGCTCAAAAACTAACATTGCGATCAATAGGTGTTGGCCATGTCATTGATTTGCAGCCCAAATGATCCATCATAGATCCTACCGAATATTGAGCGTGTCTTCAAGTTGAATAGATCGAACCTCTCCGGCCTGCAGAGTCCAGCTCATCTGAAACAGTATGATACGTGTTTGAGGCAGAGAAGCTAGATCAGAGGTAAGCATGTTGCAGTGTTGGAATTCTTCTAGTAGTGCTTTATCACATGCAGTGCCTGTGAGATGACTGTGTTTTGGTCTCATTCTCACAGTAAGAATGAAATTTAGGTGTCCACTCTTTTGTATGTCTGTCCATTCCAGTATTCACCAATGACTAATAGGTCTTGAGGCATCTACAAGCCCTGTGTGACAGACTGGCTCTCTTTATTCCCTTCAGGACATTTCAGACACTCCACAAAGACAAGCTTTCCAAACCACCCTCTAAGAAACAGACCCTTCACCTGAAAGCTTGACACCTATTCACTCACATCCCACTAATGTCCTGTCGTTACTAGTACACAACTAGGATAGGTGGCATATCACAACTGTTGTTTTCATGCAAACCCCATGTCGTTTGATCTACTGCAGTATAAAAGATACTAACACTGTTTTGTACAAGAGATACTGTATATGAAGATATTGATAGATGTAAAGATATACATCATATTGTTAATTAAGTAGGCAGAGACAGATTCTAAACCTGTGGAACTGGAGTAAACATTGTAAAATGTGTAAAACTAACTATCATAAAAATGTATTGTAAATAATGTGCATTCCATGAATTCTGTGACTGCTGTGACCCTATATATTTTCTAAATGCATTGAACTATTCATGCGTGTTTCATTTTTTACCTCATAATTTTTAATGAAAATAACAACTTGATCTTCTGATTAATCTTAATCAGTCAATCAACAATCAATCAATCATTTATGTGCACAAAAGCTGCATCTGAAGCAACGTGGCTGAAAAATGCTATGAAATTGAAAAAGCATTTTAAATATAAAAATGATGAATAAAATGTAATATCAAATTGTAAATAAAAAAAATATTTAAAAAATATAAGTTGCATGACAGAGCATAAAATTCTGCACAGATGCTGTATTTGAGACGCAGCTGCACTTACTGCATTTATGCAACAATGCATCTTTACAGAGCAGCCTTAAAGAAATAGTTCACCCAAAAATGAACATTTTTGCTTAAGAGCATATTTTCATAACAGTTCACTTGGTGGTCACCTGAGGCCCTTTTATTCTCCTTTTATTACTAGCTCACCAATGGATCCACTGCAGTGAATGGGTGCAGTCAGAATAAGAAAACTTTTTTTTTTTTTTACTTTTTTCCACTTGTAAACAGTCCTTGATCTGTGCATATTTCTCTCCTGATTCAGACAAGATTACTTTTTCACTGGAGAAAGCAATATAATGGATAGAGGACATGAATTTTAGCTGAAGTTAAAAACATCTTAATGATGGATTTGTTCCTTACAACATGCAGCATTGTGTGGATTACTTGTGGATTATTGTGATGTTTTTATCAGCTGTTTGAACTCTCATTCTGACTCCAAAATTTCTTCAAATCTTTTCCAATGAAGAAA